TATATTAAAAAAAAACTTAAAATGATATATTCTTTTATTTGAAAAAGAAAAAAATAAGCTTCTCTTCAACCATCTAAAATACTTTCATTGCCTCAGAATTGTGCCACTTTCCTTTTTCATCTGGGAATTTCCCCTCTATCCTTTGTCATTAAGAAAGCAAAATTACTTATTAAAAAATATGTTTTGTCCAAACTACTGTAAAAGTTAAAACAAATCCCTCAAAACAACAAGAATGCAGATTTTCCTCAAAACACTTCAGTGCTGTGCCATTATTGTTGTGAATTCTCTCATGTGGTTCCTGGATCTCATTACCCTAATTTACAGGCAACATAAATTGAACAGGTCAAAAAGAAATGAAACATCAAACGTCTCCAATACTTCACAGCAGATTTTAGATCTGTCATAAACTGAAAGTACAGGGGTAGTGATTACATCAAGCCTTATGACAAAGAACACAAATACCATTTTAGGAGAGAAATTAGCAAACATTTGTTCACACAAAGGATGGCAGAAGTACACAGTGTACCTAAACACAATTTTAAAACAGAAAATGAATTAATTTGTACTAGTCAAGTGTACAAAGGTATATAGAGCTAAACTAGATACATGGAGTTGGCTGATATATACTCAATAATCACAACGATTGACAGAACAGACTCAAGAACCAAAAAGTTTTGAGAGATAATAAGAATTGCCAATGCTGGAGTCAGAGATAACAGTGTGGAGCTAGAGGAGTACAGCAGGCTAGGCAGTATCAGAGGAGCAGAAAGTTGACGTTTCGGGTCGGGACCCTTCTTCAGAAAATGACCCTTCTGAAGTTGACCCGAAACGTCAACTTCCCTGCTCCTCTGATGCTGCCTGGCCTGCTGCGCTCCTCCAAAAAGTTTTGTCCTGTTTTTCTGAATGGAGATCAAAGATAACATTCTGGTGTCAATCCACTCTACAAATCCAAGCACATAAATCAACCATTTCAGTACAGTACTGAGGGACAGTCATGCTGTCAGAGGTGGTCCCTTTCTAGTGAGACATTAAACCCTGTTCAGATGGCGTTTTCAAAGACGATCAGTGGACCTCTCCTGGTGCCCTGGCCAATGTCATAAACACATTCCATTCGTGGAATTAACAAATGAGAGCAAATTCACACTATCTTACAATATAACATTACAATTTCAAAGTACTTCAAGGTGATTGAGGGCTTTTGGGAAATGCTGATATTGTAAAAAGCCACAAAACTAAGATTGATACTCAACAACGCACCATGCAGTTAACGATTTCACTACTGTTCAGGAATGAATCAAGTCTTCAATTCACCAAAGTCTTAACATTTTAATGGCATAACTAGTGTACATCCTCCATCTTGTCAGACTGAAACATTGTTATACAGTCCAAGCTTTCATAAAATAATGTCTAACTCTAGAGATGCCCAGAAAACTAGGCACAAGAGAATTAATATTTTTGGTCAAGCAAGATCTATCCTACTTTTGATAAAATTGCTTTAACCACAATAATAGTGTAAAAGAATGGGTAGACTTATCTGGAGCTAAAGTCATGTAAAAGTCAGGAAGAAAAAAAGAGTATTATTTGGCAATATTAATTCTATAAACTTCTAGTTCATATTTTAAAATTGTTGAGCACTAAATGGACATTGAGGAAAAATATGGCGCTCAGAAGTCGCAATGAAACATTTGGCAAGAGGAGTAGTGAAGGAAAAATATTTTTTGTACCTTTCCCATATGGCTTAGAGGTACACTGAACAATGCAAGTACAAAAAAGTGGTGAAAAGAACAAAGTTTAGCAATTAAAAATTAAAGACTGCATATCATAGAACATTAACCTCAAGTGAAGAACAGATTTAGATAAAAATGTGAACACATTTTTCAAGTTGGTCACTCTTGAATGTGCCAAAGACCAGGTCAGCCTATAGCAAGTGTAATTAATTTATTGTTCTGTACAGTGAAGGCTCTGAAGCTAATTTCATGCAGTATTACTCAAGCGCCTAATTAGAGATCAGTATGCATTAGGCCTATCGGGAAGATCTTCATTTCATGCCCTGAACACAAAGATTGGGAAACAAGTCTAAGAATGCATTAGGACTTTAGATCTCAAAGAGAAGTTTCAAAAATAATGAAACTAGCAAAATAGTCAACTTAACCTCAAAGTTGATTCATTAATCTAACATACTAAAAAGTACATAAAAAGAAGCATGTTACACAATTAATTTTAATTTCTTAAAATCATGAAAAGTGGCAGAAAACTTATCACCATAACCCTAATGCAAATTATTAAAATGCTGCACATACAACTTGAGAGAAGGGGAGAGCTCTCCATTGCTCAATATGCCCATCTCTCAAAAGGTTGCAAAATACTAGGATATTTTCAAATTTGATTCTTAACCAACTCAAAGCATGCTCTCCTCAACTGGATCAGTGACAGTGAAGAAAGTCGAAAGAAAGTAAGACTTAAATATTCTTCTTGTTTTCTAGACAGATTCAGCCATTACTTCTATGTACAAACTTGATATGGTTTTGGAACACTGCTAATCCTATTAAAATTATACCACACAAGTCATTATCTTTGGGTGGGGTAGTAAAGAATGCAATTAAAACAAGCAGCTGCATCAAAAAAAAGATTAATAGGCAGAACAAACTTTATTCCCAACTGATCATTGGTTTCATTGCACAGAGTCTCAGGTCATATTTTGGTATATATCCATGGGCTTTTAATAATTTCTGTACTTAGACCCCTAAATCTTTCTGCTCAAAAGAGACAGTTGCAAGCTTCTCACTATTTCATTCATATTCTGATCTATCACAGCTAAGTAGTGGACAATCTCATGTGTTGCTACAATCAACTCCATCTTGTTAGTGGGCAAAACAATATCGTCATGTTCCATTGCAAATTTTCCCATCTATTATAGAATGTCCCACTTGAGTGTTGTCAGCAAACTTCAAAACACAGTGCTCTCCCCCTTCAAGTAATTTACTAGTATGCTGAAAAGCCGAGATCCCAGTACAGATCCTAGGGCAGCATCATTTGTAATATCCTACCAACTGAAGTATGAAGCCATTATCCTATTCTAGATATTTTACCTTCTAGTTCTCCATCCATGCCAACAGGTTGCCTCCAATCCTACGCATTTATCTTTGTTAGTAGTATTTTACGTAGATGCTTGCAAAATCTTATCTATAGCTCCATACAAGCCATATCCATAGATAACCTTTTCTACATGGTTGGAATCCAGAAGTTGAGTCGGTTCATTAGACATTTACCCATGACAAATCCATCTCACTGTCCAATCAAATTTATTTTTGTCAAAATGTTCAGTTGCACTGAACTTGGTGTATTACAGATTCTCATAACTTTTCAAACGGATTAGACCAATGGGCTCTCTCCTACACTTCAACAAACAGTTCTACTGGCATTTTTTAAAATCAAAGATAATTTCCAAATCAATTCAATTTTTAAAATTTCATTTGAGGAATATAGAGTAATAACAGAGCAAAAGCAGATAATAACTAGCCCTATATCCAAAGTAACAATCACTGATGAAGCAATCAAAATTGTTTGTAGTAGGGCACCGATCTGAGCAAATGATCAAATATGATTGCACAGCAACAGATCTTCTTGTGTGTCCAGTACAATTATAAACACAATTCGATGTACTTGATAAGATCAAGAAATGGCTGCAGGAACAGAAGGGCCCTGATTTCTGGTAATAGCACTGAAGACATGTTCCAGAACTTGCCATTGCCCTAGTCAGGCTGTTCCAATACAACTATAATAATGGAATTTACCAAACAATAAAGAAAATTGCTAGGTATATCACACACACACACACACACACACACACACACACACACACACACAACCTCTAACCTGGTCAATTCTCCATCAGTGAAGTAATGGAAGGTGTCATCAACAGCGCTATCAAGCATCACTTGCTTCACAGTAACCTACTCACTGATGCCCACTTTGGGTTCTGCCACAGCCATTCAGCTCCTAACTTCATTACAGTCTTGGTTCAAACATGGACAAAAGAACTGAATTCCAGAGGTAAAGTCCAGCTCTATGCAAAAATTACATATAACACTGACCTTGAAACTGATGACAACTGAGCTGTTTATTCTCACCAGTCATATTTCACTGCAACGATTTAATTTCTTAGGTTGACAGCTGTTACAGATTGTGTTAGAAGACACTGACTTTTTAAGCAAAGAAAAAAATTATTTTGTTCATGATCATTGAACTGAATTTTAAGATTTTTGTCCTGCAGCTCCACTCATTTGATGAAACTCCTTCTCTAACAGCATTGTGGGTATTTCTACAACATCTAGACTGCAGCGGCTCAAGGTGGCAACTCACCACTACCTTCTTAAGGACAACTCCGTAAAAGGCAATAAAGAACTGACACAGTGATACCTACATTCCATGAATGAATTTTAAAAATAAAGTAGTTTCCTCCCCACTGTCCACATGGCTTTCAGTTTCACCAAGGCTCGTTGACAGGACCTTTGGTTGGACAGTGGCTTGATGTCTTTTAGACATAATCTCAAATTCAGATCAAGACTCGCATCTATCTTTTGACCAAGTGTATAAGTAGGCTTTAAACAAAGTGATCCTACTGGAGCCTGAATGGAACATCACTGGTTATTAATCAGTGAGCAAGTCCCCATTGCACTGCTAATGATTCCATCCATCATTTTACCGATTCACAATAGGCTAGCAGGGCAGTGATCACCATAGTTGGATTTTTGTGGACAATCCCCACACGGGCAATCTTTCACCTTTGCTGTAGCTGGACTTTAACAACTTGGTTAGGGACCCAGGTAGTTGCAAAGCCCAGGGTTTCAATGTCAAAGATGAGATTTTGTCATCATGCAGTCCACCTTAAGAAATTCCAACCTCAATATATTTTTTCATTTGATACTTAGGAAAGTCTTTAGGTATAGATTGGGCAATATAGGCATAGCAAACTAAGTATCAAAAGTAAAACAACTTACTCGAGATTTCTGCATTGGATTTTCAAAATCTGTACCTTCAGGTGCCAAACACAACCAGCCTCCATAGATGGGTTTAGCCTATAAACAAAAGCAGTAAAACAGGGTATTATGAATATTTTTCCAATTTAAATTTTAAAATATGGAATATTGGAATGATAAACAGTGATCAATTCTATCAGCTAAACATAAAATTTTAAGTAATAGCAAAAAAATAGATTATAAACTCTGCATGGCTACAAGAGACAAACTGAACACCTACCTGCCCAAAACAGATCGGGTTATGTTAACTTCAGCAAACAATCACATTCATTGTCAGAACTCAAACATAAAATCACTTGGAAAGTCTTTGAGGATGCCCAACGCAAATAGAAACCTACCAATAATCATTTCCTGGCACAAAAACCAAACTTAAGTAATGCTGAAAGAAAAGGACATTTTGTCAAAGATTGTCATCTTGCACTCAAGACTTTATAAAAAGAATACCATCTCAATGGAAGACAAATATCTAAACTGCATGAAGAGTGCTGATTCGGGGACAAA